TAATTATTCACTGTTACAATGTGTTGACAATTTGTTCGGCCAAAAACCGCTTGAAAATTTGGAATACTTTTGTTTTACAACTCGAAGACGAAGTGGAAGAAATGGTTTTAGAACCTCTATATCTCACAGGAAAGCTCAGATATATTATACAGATGTTTGGTAGTATAGTAAGTGCTTGTTGACTGCAAATTCATGATTTGTCTTTCGTTGCAAACTTTTCTGAACAATTTATATTCTCAATGAACATGTTTTTTCGCTGTTGTTTCGGTATTAATTCTTTAAAAAACTTGTATTTAAACTCATTTCTACGTAATAAATGTATTTTGCTAACCTCTCAAATTTTTTTTGAGAGTTTTTCCTTGTACTATTATGTTTTTCAAAGCGAATATTTTCCTTTTTTCTGCTTCGCAAAACTCATGTAGTTTTTGGACCGCCATCTTGTTTTTCGCTACTCGCCGTATATGAGCTGATATACGGCGAGTAATTCAACCAATCAGATTGCAGAACAGCTCATATACGGTGGATGACTATATTATAAATATCATTATATGGGTAATTCCATGGTGACTCATGTTACATTCTGAACTAAACTATCAGATTAATTTTGATCTGGTGTAATAACTAATATATTTTTTTCTGTCACATTTTTACATGCAAGTACAAATAATGGTAAGCTACTGATTCACAGTAAAAATTAAACATTTGATTATAACAAGATTGGTGGCCGTAAATTTGTGTGTGACTCATATATGTTAGGCAAACTACCCATACCAATACAAACAAATTTTATTAATACACGTGACTCATGTTACGTGACTCATGTTGCATATAAAGCACATCTTAATATTTCAGTTCAGAATTGTTTCCAATAGCTTCTGAAAGTTCTTGACAACTTTTCAAAAAATGTCATCATTACCATGGAATTACCCATGACATGAAATTTATAATCCACTCCAAATTTTGTCGCATGAAGTTGGAAGTCAAGTGCCCACCATGAACTATTCGGCGGGACAATATCCCCTTTCATTATGCCAACGAACATCCAATAATTATCTTTGAAAACTCCAACTTCAACTTGAAACGCACGCCAAGTACGTGCCGAGCGGTTGAATCATGGACTGTGACTTTCCCGCTTTATTCGAGACTAACTTAGAGCTGTGTAAATTGAATTTCTCGCCGCAAATAATTTCAGTGGGAAAGAATTTGGAAGTGATGCTGGATTCTCTGGAGTGGCAAATTTCTTCGCGCGAAGATACACTCAAAATTAGAACAAAATATTGTAGGTTGTATATAATCAAAGAACACAGCGCTTCCCATTTTCGACTGAACATTAAAGCAAGACACGAACCTTCTACTTGACAAAGAACGCTTAAAATGGTATAAATAGAGGTTTACACTTTACAGTAATAAACACCAATAGTAACATTGCTTGCAGTGAATGTGCCATTCCACCAGGCTTTCTTGCCATCCAGTATTTCCTACTTTTTCCTACT